AGTTGGATCGGGAACCGGAGTCTCTTTGATTATGATTAAAACGATATAAGTATATATTCTTGACAATTACATGTGAAATTTATGATTATAGAACTAATCTCATTTCTAATCGATTATCACGCACCGTCCATCTTTGATTATGTTTGCTTTAATGTTAATATTATTATTCAACCATGGAACCTAAATACCTTTAATGTGGCAAGCTTTCATTGATTCACCCATTTTCTTTTTGAATATTTTTCATCCTCACGACCATCTTTCTTTTTTTAAGAATATTAGCAAGGGTAAAAATGTTTCTAGAAATTTGACATTCACTCATAAATATTTCAAATCGTTTAATGAATAGTAAATTGAGGTTAGATTTAACTTTGTGGATAGATTAAAAAAAAAAAACTAAATTTAAAACGAAAAAATATTTCAAATCATTTAGGTTTTAAACTTTTAGAATTCAAACTGATTTTCATATTTTTATACTTTTTAATAAAGAGTTCAAACGATTTTCCTTATTTTTATTATTTTCTTTTGTCTTATTCAGTTTCTTTTTTTTTTTTTTTTTTTTTTTTTTTCTGTGACAGTTAAGGATAATTCACAGTTTATTATCCCTTAGAATAGATAAATGATTTGAATGGGCACCGACGTGAAAATCAAAAAGAAAATAAATATTTAACCGGTTGCTAGATTCCAATGGTTATTTGGTGTTTACAGCTATAGTGATTTTTCTGAGAATGAAACAGTCATATTTCACTTAATCAATCATTCATTCACTTAATAAAAAAAATATTTAAAAAAAAAAATGTCTTAAATCTAGCAATATTTCACTAATTTATGGCTTTTTTTTTTTTTTTTTTAAATGGGAAGGGATGATTTTTAAAAATCAAGGGAGTTTGATTTTTTTATTTTATTTTTTTTAACCAGAGTGTTCGACCAATTTACCCACCCTCAATTATTCTTGAGATCCATTAAATACCCTACAAGCTTATCTCTGTGAGACTCGAACACAAAACCTTTAGTAACCCACCCAGATAACTAAAGTCTTGTCATCCAACCAGAAACCGAGTGATTAAGGGAGTTTAATGTTATTGAAAAAAGTTGAGTGCATGAACCTGTCAATTTTCTCCTGAAATTTGTATGCCTCATGTTACCAAAGCTTTCACCAAAGCAATACCTAACAAATGAGCCTCAATCAATCAAACTCACCGAATCACCAATTTTCTCCTGAAATTTGTATGCTCCATGTTACCAAAGCTTTCACCAAAGCAATACCTAACAAATGAGCCTCAATCAATCAAATTCACCGAATCACCGTCTCTTGTTTGTAGAGGAGAAAATTCCATTTTTTGAAATAAGAGGGATAAAAATGGAATTCTCCATAGATTGTGAAATGGTTGAGGAGAAGAAATATTGTAAGCAAAAAGCCCCATCTCGAGGCTTTTTTTTTATTTGTTTTTTTTTTTTTTTTGTTATCATGGGTATCTGCGCCTGTTTACGTATACTTCAACTAATTCTTCATAGCCTTGAAAGTCTGATCGGATAATTCTCTAATGATCACCTCTATTAAGATATAAGAGGACTCGAATTTAGGAGTATGACAAATTTCCTTTTGTTCTTTTATTATTCCGCCCATTGGTAGTTTTTTTTTTAATTTGTTTGTGACCAACTTTTGCCTGAGCAAAGCGCATGCAACAAAACAACAAAACAAAAATAAGAGAGTGAAAATTGTGCATATGCAATGAATGTGTCTACAATTACAATTGGAAGTACTACTTCAACTTTTGCTTTCTGCTTTCTACTTGCTACTTCTGCTTCTTGAAAAGCTGGTGATGGTGAAGACAGAAAGATCAGTCTCTTCACTGCGAGACTAGACTTGACAGTGTCATGGCTGCTACTGTGTTCAGAGTTTGGACTGTTTCATTCATGGAGCTTGAAGCAATGGCCACGGATTTACTTTAGTAGGTTGAAGTGGTGTGTTTAGTCTGGAGTTGTACGAAGAAACTTCCACCAAACAAGCTAAAACCTGAGCGGACAGGGCGGTGGTGACTTTAGTTGGCGTGTTGTTAAATTTGTGAATCAGCATTCGGCTGGCTGCCTTCTGTCTTGTATTGATTTGACCGAGAGCCATTTCTGTCTCTTGGTGGGACAGATCGGCGCCGCATCTAATCGATATTGCATTACGATATATTCTATCACCATTTGATGATGGTGGTTAGAATGTCACAAATATGACCGGATGAAAGATGTTTTTACCAATTTATAAATTTTTGGCTTCGTTTGGTTCATAATTGGGTATTTTTGGAAAAAAATTTCTGAAAAAAGTTAAAAAAAAGTTGCATTTGGTAGGTATTACGATGTAGGATTTATAAATTAATAAAATACCCCTTATATTTGTTTATTTATAAAACACCCCCTATAATAAAATCTTAAAAATTAACAAAAACACCCCCAACCCAATGTCAAATACGGACAGTCGGCCACCACCGCCGGAGGGTGGCCGGGTTCACCATATTGGCACATGACCGGCTGGATCTTGCCGGTCGTGTGCCGATATGGCCTTTGCCGGCCAGATCCACGGTGGATCTGGCTGACAAAGGCCAGATCTACGGCCAGATCTGGCCGTCAACAGCCAGATCTGGCCATATTTTCTCGTCAACGACAACCAACAAACGGTCGTCATTGATGGTCAACGACGACCGTTTGTTTGCCGTCGTTATAAACCGTTACGGCCAAAGATCTGGCCGTCAACGGCCAGATCTTTGGCCTTAGATCTGGCCTTTTCCGGCCAGATCCACCGTGGATCTGATCGGAAAAGGCTAGATCGGCGCACTACCGGCCAGATTCAGCCGGTAGTGCGTCATCCTAACAGATTCCGACCATTTTCCGGCAGTGGTGGCCGGAATCTGGTAAATATGAATTACTGGGGTGTTTTTGTAATTTTTAAAAAAATATTTAGGGGTATTTAATTAAATTATCAAATTTAAGGGGTTTAAAAAAAGTTGAATAATATTGGAAGTAGTATTCCCAAAAATCAAAGTTTTTGGGTATTTTACTGTTTAACTTTTTTGGGAATACTAAAAGTAGTATTCCCAATTGGCAACCAAACGGAGCCTTTATTATTGAAAATATTTAGTTAAATTAACAAAATTAAGAGGTTAAAAATAATCTACATATTTTCAGAAAATATTATTAAAAATATACAAAACTTTTTTTAGAATACTTCGACTCAACTTTTTTCAAAAAACTATTCTAAAAACTTAGGCTCCGTTTGGTTTATTATTGGATAGTTTTTAGAATATTCTTTTGAAAAAAGTTAAATTAGAAGGGTATTACGATGTAGAATTTTAAAAATTAACATAAATACCTCCTATATTTATTTATTTACTAAACAACCCTAAATATAATATTCAAAATTAACAAAACACCCTCAATCCACTCATAAATAAGGACAACCGGCCACCACCGCCGGAGAGTGGTCGGAGTTACCGTATCGGCTTATAACCGGCTCGATATTGCCGATCGTGTGGCGATTTGACCTTTTTCGACCAGATCCATTGTGGATCTGGCAAAAAAAGGCCAGATCTATGGTTAGATCTGGCCGCATTTGGTTATCTTGGCCGTCATTGACGATTGTCTACGACCAAAGATCTGGTCAGAAAAAACTAGATCGATGTACTACCGGCAAAATTCAGCCGATAATATGCTATTACACTAGATTTCGACCAGCTGTCGACAGTGGTGGTCGAAATCTGATAAATTTGGATTGTTGAGGTGTTTTTGTCAATTTTTTAAAATTTTTTTAGAGATTATTTAGTTAAATTAATAAATTTAGGAGGATTAAAAGGAATTTGAATAATTTAAAAAACTATTTTAAAAATAGGTGAAATAAAGTTAACTGTTTTAGGAAAACTAGAAAAGTTTTTCCGATATGTGAACCGAGCCTAAGATATGGTAATAATGTTTAATTAAATTTATTAATAAATATAATCAAAATTATACATGTCTAACCACATGTACACGATGCTGACTGCTGGTATGGCTTCAAGATGATCATATTGGAGAAATTCTCCATACATGCCTTACTCCTGTATTAAGACAAGAATAGACAAAATATAATCAATGATGTCACTCTAAATTTTGTTCTTTGTTAAAAGGAGAATCTTCATATTTAAAACAAAATCTATATAAATGCCGATACGTCAAACATGAAACACAGCAGTATAGGACCGTAAGAGTAATGTTAACCTGTTATAAAATTGACTCAACACAGCAGTATATGTAGCCCATACCTCAAAGAGTGTTTGGGTCGTTCAAAAATATCTCAGTTAATTTTTCAGAATCTTAAGCTATGAGACAGATAAGAGTTTTAGTTAAATCTCTTATTCTTATTAAAAGTTGTGGAACCCCTATTAATAACAACCAAAGAAAAATTTAAATTTTAAACCTTTTAAAGAATACATTCAAAAGTCCGTATATAATCATTCGATCCAACGAAAACTCTTTATGTTATTGGTTGTTATACTTTTTTACAATATACTAATAAAAAAGTCTGATATTTATAGATTTTACTAATAAAAATATATTAATGTTTTATAAGGCCACTGGTTTCCTAACCTTGATCAAACACTCACTGATTTACCCCTATTCCATTAAGATAATCAGTACTTTTTTTCTTCTAGAAAAAGAAGAATAAATTGAATTTTGAACGGCTAAATCGATAAGTCTGAGTCACAAACCGAGTCCACTCACTTCCTCCCAAAACAACACGTTCTGGATCCAGATTCGTGATAACTCCGTCCCTTATTATTCTTGGGGTCCGGAGACTCCATGACCAAAGCGTTGAATTTATACAACTTCAAAAAATGATTTACGATTTACAGAGAGAAAAAACGTGGCAAAAATTCCCTCCGTGTCCCTCAAGATATTATTTATGTAGCCCACATGTCACACCACTATTTAAGCTCAATCTTTATTTCAATCGACGTCATCTTCCTATATAAATCACCATAACCCTTTCCTTCAACCTCAACTACAAATTACATTTTACTTTTCTTCAACGTTAACGTTCACTTTTCTCTCTACCTTATAACATAAACAATCTCGTTTCTGAGGTTTGAACGATAGAAAAAGTAAAAAAACTGAGAGAAATGAAGGCGGGAGTGGTGGTGGACGACGGCTTTATCTATGCAGAAGAGACCTATCTCACTGTGTTGAAGACCTCGTTGTTCTTCGCCAACGACGGCTTCACCGTTTACGACTGTAAAGGTGAGTTGGTCTTCCGAGTTGACTCCTACGGCCCCGACACTCATGACAGAGATGAACTCGTTCTCATGGACGCCCACGGCAAGTGTCTCCTCACTGTCCGGAGAAAGGTATTGATTCTATCTTTTGCTCTTTAGTGTACTGTAAAAATGTTTTTGAATCGATGAGTTAACTCATCGTTCAGATTTGGAATAATTGAGTCGATACAGCCTGTTGTGTTAATCTGTGTCGTGTTGATTTTAATGAACAGAGGCCAAGTCTACATCAAAGGTGGGAGGGGTATGTGGGGGAGAGAGTGGAGGGTCAGAAACCGATCTTTAGCGTGCGAAGATCATCGATAATTGGACGGTCGAGCGTGACGGTCGAGATGTACGAGAATCCAGGTGAGGAGTACCAGATCGAAGGTAACTTCGCGCAGCGTTGCTGCACGATCTTCAATGCGATGAAGGAATCAGTAGCTGAGATTCGACGCAAAGTGGATGCTTCAACGCAGGTGATGCTTGGTAAAGATGTGTTCTCATTGTGCGTCAAGCCTGGGTTTGATGGGGCCTTCGCCATGGGATTGGTGCTGGTGCTTGATCGGATCAACGGTTATGATAATTTTGAGGATAATGGAGTTGTAGTGGACCCTCCTACAGAAGAATAGTTTTCAAGTGTTTTTCTAATTGTCTTGGTGGGGGACTTTGGGGAATTTTTCTTACTGTATTGCTTATGGGATGTTTATGACTTTGTATTTTAAACTCACGTTACTAATTTTAAAAGCAGATTCTAGTTTGTGCATTTATATATTTTTTATTTATTTATGATAATATACAAAGGACACAAATTTCCCGTTATTATAAAAATAATTGATGTGGGGATATTTTACACCACCAAAAATAAATAAATAAATTCACACAAAAAGATTAAAAAGTTTGTGTGCCGACTACATTGAGATGACTTTTTAAGGGTTGTCATTAAGGCTGATCTAAAAAATCTGTAAACCAAATTGAACTGGTAACAGACTAGAATGAAATCTGTTCGGTTTCTATTCAAAAATTTCTTTGAACTGATTTTTCGGTTGAGTTATCGGTTTAATGGATTCTGAGAATCGATTAACCAAAACTGGTTTTTGAAATTGGTTTTGCAATAAAAATTAAAAAGTCCAAAAGGGACAAAACCGATTAATCGGTTCAGTGAATTGTTTTAAAGTTTTGGTGTACATTTTTACACTGTTCTGGGAAAAACCGATTCAAAACTTGTTAATCGATTCTTGAAGACTAGCTAACCGGAAAAGTGGTTCGATTCAAAACTATTTTTCCTCGGAACTTGTTCGATTTTGTTTCAAGAATTTCTCTGAACTAGAAAACCAGTTTAGTTAAAGAAAATAGGTATTCGGACTAATTAACCGGTTTTGAACACCCCTAGTTGTCATATCAAATCATGGTTAATTGGTTTTGAACACCCTTAGTTGTCATATCTAGTGATTTGAGTGTAAATTCAGTGTTGGTGGTGTAGGGTTTCTTAATGCCACATACCTTTTATTTAAAGAAAATTTTCTTACACTTTTAAAAAGGTAGTGTCGTTATTTTATTTTATTTTTTTATTAAGATATTTCGGTTTATTAATAATATCAAGTATCAACCTTAATATAAAAACAAAATAAAGAAAAAGTGGCTTTATAGGGTTATATATTTTTCTGTGGACTCGTTGATACGTGATCATTATGTGGAGACTTTACTCCAAACCTATCAGTACGCTTACGTATTGTTATGTGAAACTCTTTAGTCTTTATTCACTCACCTTTAGCCTATACCGTCATTGATGAAATATTGAAATAAAGTTGTGTCGTAATAAATAACTTAAGCTTTTAATTTAATTATAAGTGTTTAATCTTCTAAATGGTAATAGAGCAAGTTACCATAGACCTAAAGAGGTAATAGTTGACCTACATGTTTTTTTTTTTTTTTTAACAACACAAATATAAATCGATTCCAACTAATAATTGTTAGACTTTTACAATATGGTCCTACACTTCTCATATAATTACATTTTGGTTCCTGTTGATGTGGTCATACGGTTGTGTCTCTGAGCAGTTGCTTTGATGGAAAGACAACTGCATATAAGAAAGAGAACTTTACAGGTCCCTATTGATGCAGTTTTAATTTATTGATTCCCAAAAACTATCACCCAAATTGCAGTCAGTGGAAGATCCTGTAATTTATAAAGGAGAAGAAGATCAAAGAACAATTGATATGGCTGGAGGTTTGTCATTTACTTCCGCATATATTCCATGAAGATTTTATACTGAAATTGATTATATTGTAAAGAATATTGGAATATGAATATATTTTATTTGGTATCAGAGCTTATTTTGAATCTATGCTAGCATGAAGTTGTTTGTTACAAATCTGAAAAATATTGCATAAAAATTAGGATTTTCCCATTAAAACCGTACTGTAAATCAAGCATAACTTTTATTATAAATAGAATTTGTTTTCGATTTTGATGTCATTGGAATCCTTGTTGAAAAAGCTTCCAACGGTATATTATTTGTCAAAAACGGAGTTCTGGATGCAAGTTATGCTAGTTTAAAGTTTTGGTTAGTAGTTATTGTTTGGGTGTTTTCGGAAGCCATTTATGGCATCGATTAGGACGAAATTGTCATTGGGTGTCACTGATATATGTTATATGTCACCTTTGGGTTTCCATGGAAACGCCGGAAAAAATGGCCGGAAACGGGTGTTGTGAATCTGGAAAATATTGGGTAAAAGTTGCAGAAAACCGGGTCAAGAAGAACCGACCAATAGGATAAACGGGTCAAACCGAGGTCAAGGCAAAGTCAAACCGGATCAAACGACCGGTCAACCCAACCCAAACGTTTAGTCAACCCGACCCCGGTCAACAGTCCAGACGGTCAATGAACCGGTCAACGGATCAAACCGGAAAATGAACCGGTCAACGAACCGGTCCAATGGGACAAACCGGGTTAACCGACCCGGTCAAAATGGGTAACCCGACCCTGGTCAAGACCCGGCGCGTGCAGGCGCGTGCAGTTCGTGCGCTTGCGTCAGGGCGTGAGGGTGCGTGTATGCGGTGCAAGCGCGTGACAGGATCGTGGGCGCGTGAGGGCGCGTGAGAGTGTGTGTGCCTTCGGCGGCGCGTGGGGGCGCGTCCTTTAGTCACGGTGGCGCGTGGAAGTCGGTGAAGCTTGTATGATGGTTTTTTATGTTATATATTACTTTCTTATGCATAAAAATGTATTATTCTTGCATTGATTGTGTGATATTATACAAATTATGTTATAAATATTTGATGTTTATGATCGTATATATTTTGATTAATTTAGAGTAGCCGCAGCATCTAAATTATGATAATATATGCATTAAGAATATTAGTTATTGATCATATTAGGTTAATAACATCGTTTTGTAGTTAATCAATTAGTTAATCATTTACCCACAGGGAATGTTATATTTATGATTAATTAGGGATGAAATAGAATTATTTTATTCTTAATTAGCCCACGGTATTATGAATATTAATAATTTCTAGTTTCATCATTAAAGGATAATGAACATAATATGTAATGTCTTTACCCACAGGGAGATTTTTTATGATATGTCGATTCATTATGATTTATATTTGTTTTACATTGGTAAACTTATAATTGTTATGATGGTTTGTGCATATTTATTTAGTAAGCATGTCTATTGATACCTACAGTTGATCAAACTTTGATGATGGTTGAGGATAAGGTTCCTAATTTAAATGGTGATAACTATAAATCCTGAGAGAGGCTGTCCTCCTTCATTTGGGTGCATAGATCTTGACTATGCTTTCGTAAGGAAGAGCCACCAACACCTACAGATACTAGCTCTCAAGCTGAGATTGTTTGTATGAACGGTGGGAGCGATCTAACCGTTTAAGCTGATGTTCATCAAATCTCACATTACGAGTAGTATCCGTGGGTCGATACGGAGTGTGAAAATGTCAAGGATCTTATGGAGGCAATTCATGCACAGTTTGAAACATCAGACAAGGCATTAGGAAGCATCCTAATGAGTGATTGACATCCATGAAGTTGACTAGTATTAAGGAGTCCGTGAGCATATTATGAAAATGAGGGACATAGCTGCTCAGTTGAAATCCCTTCAGATGTGATTAAGATGATTTCCTGGTGCATTATGTCCTGAACTCTCTTCTCGTCTCATTATACTCCTTTCAAGATATCTTATAACACCAGAAGGATAAATGGTCAATCAATGAGCTTTTGACCATGTGTGTTAGGAGGAGGAGAGACTGCTTCAGGAAGTGAATGAAACTGCACATCTGGTGACAGGAAATGTCAAGTACCCTTCAAATAAGAATAAAAGTGGAGGGAAAAGGCAAGCTGCACGAAATTGTGAGCAAAGGTAATAAGGACAATACAAGTGTTTCTTCTGTAAAAGATGGGACAATAGAAGAAAGATTGTCCTAAGAGAAAAGCCTGGCTTGATAAGAAAGGTAACCTCTTATTCTTGTGTGTTATGAATCTATATGATTTGTGTTTCCATAATGATTGGTGGATTGATTCTGGTTCTACAATCCCTGTTTCTAATACCATACAGGGTTTTCTGGATAAAGGAAGCCATTAGGAAGTGAATGCAGCATATTCAGGAATAGGATGCCTTCACGTGTTGAAGCTGTTGGAACTTTTAGATTTATTTTAAGTACTAATTATGTTTTGGATTTGGAACGAACCTTATATCCTAGTTTTTCTAGAATTAATTTCTGTTTCTAAACTTGTACCATGTGGATACTCTTTCAACTTTTATGGTAGTTCTTTTAATTTAATTAAGAACTCATCTATTGTGGGAATGGTACTTGGTTGATGGTTTGTTTAAAATTATTTAAGTGATACTGTTCCTTATAGTCTTATGACTTCACATGCTAACACTGGTATGAAACGTACTATTATGTATGAAAATCTTCCTTTTTGTGGCATAGGAGATTAGGACCATCTCCATTGATAGGATTAAAAGGTTGGTAAATGCTGGAGTTTTGAAACTCTTGACTTTACTGACTTTGATACTTGTGTAGACGCATTAAGGAAAGCAGACTAACAAATCCAGAAGGGTGCCAGGAAGAGTTCTGAACTTTTAGAAATCTACACACAAATATATGTTGCCCTGACATGAGCTCTAGTGGTCAGAAATATTTCATCACCTTTATTGATGATACTCACGATAATGTATCTCTATATGCTTTATCACAAGGATGAAGCGTTGGATGCTTTCAAATATAATAAAGCAGAAGTAGAGAAACAATGTGGAAAACAAAATAAGATCGTGAGATCTGATAGAGGTGGTGAAATTAGGTAGATACACTGGTATAGGACAAGCACTTAGTATTTGCTAAATTTCTTCAAGAGCAAGGTATTGTGGCTCAGTACACTGCCTGGCACACCATCTCAGAATGGTGTAGCAGAACGGAGAAATAGACAATAATGGATATGGTACGGAGTATGCTAAGTAAATCCAAACTTCCTCATTCTTTGTGGATTGAAGCTCTAAAAACTGCAGCGTATATATTAAACCGAGTTCCAACTAAGGCGGTTCCCAAAGCCCTTCGAATTATGAAAGGTTGGAAACCAAGTTTAAGTCATTTACGCAGGGGTTGCCCAGTTGAGGTTAGAGTTATAATCCAAAGAACGGAAGTTAGATCCTAGGACTATTAGTGCATATTTTATTGGATATGCAGAAAAATCCAAGGGATATAAGTTTTATTGTCCTAACCATTCCAGTAGAATTGTTGAAT